ACGATTTAGTTTGGCAATGATACAAATTAATATTTAAGCCTCTGCTGGAACTCAACCATTGTTGATGTTGTTATGGTTTCGGTGGTTCTAAATATAGGCAAGCAAGATGAGAAAAAGACACATCAAACTCCTTATCTGTTTCATTTTGGCAGTTTCGGAGAGTTCCTATTTAAGCTTACATCTAAATAAGCATTCTCATTTTATCACTGCCGGTTTTAGAGCAGTTAGTTCACTGGCACAATCATCGTATTACTCAAACATATAAAAACCATACGATAGGTTAGGGCTGTGCTGCTAAGCCACCTGGGCTCCCTTCTTCATTTAGTGTTTCTGCTCCTCTACATTGGAGGTCTCAAACTACAGGCTCATGGGCCCATCTCTGACCCTGGGTCTATCTGATACTGAAAAACAAAAACAAGAATTAAGAAATAGTTGCTACTATTAAAAGGAAATTGTATCTAGAAACCTGATGTCTTATTTCCTTTGGAAAACTGGGCTTACTAAAGCTCTAAGGTTTCTATTTTCACATGAGAACCATGTGAGGAACAGCTGTTCTTTTTTATCATTCTTTCCACCACTCTGTCTCTTCAACACTGAGCCTGATTTGGGGGACATTTAGCCTCATAATGGTGCCAGGGTTCCAACAGCCAGCTTCACTCTTGTGTCTACCTGGTCAGTAGAGGCACTGAGTTTGTGACCCCTGCTGGCTACATGTCCCCTAGGGATCTCATCAGCAACAATGTCCACCTGTGGGACTATTCACTCCATCTGTCCTCCTAAAGCATGTTGTGGGACTCAGACACAACACTGTGGCTATGTTAATTGCATAGTTGTTATCAAGAGCAGGTATGTTTATGGGTTATGTTTTATTCATTTGGTCAATGCCAGTTTTCCCTTGCAAGGAAATACCTTTTAGAAGGTAGGACCAAGAAAAAGAAAAGGGTTTCTGTCTTCAATAATTTTTAGAACATAGAGTCTTTCTCTGTTTGTCTGGGCTGCAAGGAAGTTCATAACTCAATTTAACAATGTGTCACAATTCCGGTGCTATTTCTCTTACTTGTGTGTCTCTGATAATGATATCAACACTGATTACTAAGGTGAACGCACATATATGCATGTACAATCTTCAAGTCCATTTTGCAAGAGACTGGGCTTCAACACATCAGAGTATAAGTGTTACTAATGTCTCAGAACCATCCTCCACACTGACAACAGATATGTGTCTGCAAAATACCAGACTAAATCATTATTCCCTTGCTTATTCAGGAAGGGCTGTCTGCATATCTACCTCTTGCTCATAAGGAATCTAAGTAATTATCAAAGTGTCCAAAACCCTTCACATTTCCCTAACCTACCTTCCTATCCACATATCTGTGAAGTCACTGGCCCACCTCACAGAAGGGGGATGTGGAATGACTTCCTCAGAGTCGCCAGAGGCAAAAATTTTATCTAAAAAACTTAGTGTCAGGGGCACCCGGGTGGCTCAGTTGGTTAAGCAGCCGACTCTTGATTTCAGCTCAGGTTATGATCTCACAGTTCCTGGGTTCGAGTCCCACACTGGGCTCTGTGATTACAGAGCAGAGCCTGATTTGGATCCTCTGTCTCCCTCTCTCTGCCCTCCCCCACTTGTTCTCTCTCTCTCAAAATGAATAAATGTTAAAATTAATTAATTAATTAATTAATTAATTTTTTTAAAGTAAAAAAAGAAAAAGACCTAGTGTCCAAGGTCCTGAAGTATACTCTAAGAACAAATGATTTCTTCCACATCTAGGATCTTCATTCTCTTTCATATATAATTTAGGGTAGAGACCATGTGACACGTTCCTAATTTGCTATTGGTAATGTCCTCTGAGCAGTGGGGATCAGATGGGGATAGGGGTTGACTACTCTGTGTAACTGCTTTTCCAACACTGGAGGCCCCGGTGTCTCTAGGGAAAGGCCAGTCAGTAATCCTGTCAATAAGGTGAGCCAGGCTCTGGGCAGAGACCGGCTATCCCAGATGGCAGGTGCCAGTTCCTGTGATCCCGGAGTGGCCTCCTGGGTCAGCTCTTCTCCACCCCCCTCCCAGCTGGTTTTGAGACAGGTTTTAACAGGTAAAACCGGATGCCTTGGCCTGTCTCAATAAAAGGCCAGCGACACACAGAGTCTAATTTGTTTGTCATAGAAGGTGCACATTCAAATAGTATGTTGTATTCATTAGTCTTTTGAGGGCAAGACAGATTTACCGCATTCCACTTTATTTTTCCCCACCACAAATGTGTGAGCATGCATCCTTTAGTCAGTCCTCCCTCTACAGCATGGCCTGATTAACTCAGAGACTGTCATTTATTAGCAAGAGGATATTTGGAAAAATAAGATATTGTAGAAGGCCAGAATATTTATTTGGGTGGGATCTCATTCAAACCTGAGCTGGCATCATACAGAAGAAATGAAGACCTACCGAAATTCCTTTGGGAGGGGCCAAGCCCACATTTGGCTACTTTCATCTCATCAAATTAATCACCTTTTGGATCTGTTATCTTTGTCATGAAAAACGTCTGCCATTAACAAAACCTGTTCCCCTTGGAAAACTATTAGCTTTCAGCGAATTAAAGTTATGGGGCACTCTGAATTAATTGTATCCTGCAAGGGACACCATTTGATAATTCACACTCTCGTGGGAAATATTGAAAGAACCTTTCCACAGGCAGTAATGTCACATTCCTTATTATAGCTGGCATAACTTTAACTCTTACAGGTTTAATTTTTGGTCCCTAAAGGACGTGTTTTTCAGAATGCATAAAGAAAACAATGTATAAAAAAAGAAACAAGTTATTTTCTGCAGTCATAAAAATCTATTCAGGTGAAAATTTTTTCAAGTACAGTGATTTTTTTAAAAGGTCAATGACAAGAAACCTCTATTTTGCATCTATATTTCATATATATATATATATATATATATATATATATATATAGAATAGCACAGTGTTGAACTATTTAAAATAGCCACAAAGACTAGTTAAGTCATTTCTGTGTGTATAACTAGGAAGCTTGAAGTTTTAAATTACTTTTAATAGAAGTCTGTCAGAAATGACTTTTTTTTTTTTTTT